GAAACCAGAGGTAGATATTGGGGTGAAAACTGAGAGATCATTAGGATAGAACAAGCCACAGCCACAAGTTCTTACTGCTAGAAAATCCTCACCCCAATAGAGAGCTACTTCTGGTATACTCACGCCTATATGCCTTTCTATGCACTGCCATCTTACTTCCTCTCTCTGCCCAGCTACATCACTTCCTCTTTCCTCTCAGCTCTATGACTTCCTGTCTGTCAGTGCAGGCCTCCAGACCTCTATGGTTAACAAGTGCTGGGATGAAAGACTTGTGCCACCATGTCTGACTCTGTTCCCAGTGTGGCCTTGAACTCCCAGAGATCCAGATGAATCTCTGCCTCCCAAATACTAGGATAAAAGGTGTGTGCTACCACTATCTGACCTCTATATTTAATATAGTGGGTGGCTTTTCCCTCTGATCTCCAGGTAAGCTTTACTTGTTAGAACACAAATAAAATATCACCACACATATCAAATTGTACTATAGAGCTACAGTAATGAAAACAGTATGGTATCAGCATAAAAACAGAAATGTTGATCAATGGAATAAAATGGAAGTCCCTTACATACATCCAAACACATAAGGACACTTGATTTTTTTTTTTTTAGAAATAAGAAGAAAGTACAACTTGAAAAAAAGGGCAACATCTTCAACAAATGATGCTGGTCATATTGGTTGGATGTATGCAGGAGAATGCAAATGGATCCATACTTATGACTCTGCCCAAAACTCAAGTAAAAATGGATTAAACATATAAACATAAAGTGATATACACTGAATTTGATTGAAGAGAAATTGGGGAATATTCTTGAACTCATTGCAAAGGAAAAGAATTTCTGTAAAGAACATTGATATCACAGGCAATAAAATAACAATGAAATTTTAAAGTTTTTGTTTGGCAAAGTACATCATCATTAGGTCAAAGCAGCAGGCTTCAAAATACAAAATGGTTTTAACCAATTGCTCATCCCATCCTGGAGTAATATCTAAAATATCTAAAGAACCTCCCCCAAAAGGATATCAAGATAACATATAACCCAATTAAAACTGGGGGTATATTTTCCAACAGAATTATCAAGAGAGTCAAGTGGTTGAAAAGCACTTAAAAATTTCAACATCCACTTCCATGAGGAAAATGCATGTCAAAACTACTTTGAGATTTCAACTTACACTGCTCAGAATGTCCAAGATCAATAAAATAAATGAAAACTGATTATGGCATGGATGTAGAGTAATGCGAACACCTGTTTATTGCACATGAGAATGCAAACTTGTGTAGCCATTATGGAAATGAGTGTAGAGGTGACTCAGAAAGCTGCAAATAGATCTACCTCAAGATTCATTTTTGTCATATACCTAAAAAATTTTATATCCTAAGATGGAGACACTTGCTAAAATATACTCACTGCTGCCTAGATGTCACTCAGTAGTTGAATGTATAAAAAAATATGGTGATTCACACAAAGGAACATTGTTCAGATGTTAAACATTTGAAATCATGAAATTTGAATGTAGATGCATCAATCCAGAGGGAAAATAATCCTGAGTGAGGTAACTCAGACCCAAAACAACAAGTATGGTATATTTTACATTATTTGAGGATGTTTACTATTAAGGTTTAGGTAAGCATATTATATTCTACATAGCCACAGATACTGGGTGTAGAGTAAGAGAGTAGAAGGTCAGGATGTATCTCTCTAGAAAGAAGCAACAGAATACAGAGTTATGAATGGGAGGTGGTGCAATGGAATAGGAGGATAAAATGGGGAATGAGTTAGAAGAGAAGACAAGGAGGGTTAAAAGAAAGGTGGAAAAGGTAAAATAAGGGCCAATTGAGGGTTCATATAGAAACCTAATGAAGTAGAGGCTGCCTAAATTACATAAATATATGAAGGCAATCTAAATAGAATTTCATTTATTAGAGTAAATGGAGCGAGCCCTAGCTGGACACCTCTCGTAACCATGTGAAGCCTCTAGATCTGGCAATAGGTTACAAGTAATCAAGTCATGAGCCAAAGAAGTCTCATTCAACCCCCAAACAATGCAGTCTACTCCTAAGGGTATTACTTGTTGTCCTTGTTGGATTCATGGGTAAGTTGAGCTGGTGCCTACCTAGAGCTTTCACCTCTATTGACTAGTGTTTACACAACTAGAAGGTATTATGCATGCTACCAGAGTAGAAAGGCAAATGCCAGCCCAGCCATAACTCTATGATATACTTGCCTGGAAGATGCACTAGTGCAATACTAGTATAAAGCTTGTGGGAATAACCAACCAATGTCTGATTGCCTTTAAGGATCACTCCACAGGATGGAATGCATCTATGACACTGCTTTTATGGCCAAGAACTTGGGAATAGTACTCCATGGAACTAGGGAGAAGCCAAATACTACTGTTCTTCTAAACGAACATAGAAAAAAGAAGCTACTCCTAATGATATTCTGCTATACTCATAGATCGTGGTTAGCACAGCTCTTATCAGAGAAGCTCTCTCTTTCATTAGATGGGCATCAATATAGAAACCCATAACTGCAAAATGTGCAGAAGTTAAGACACCATGGAATAGTCAGTCCTAAATGGGAACTCTAGAATAGGAGGCAGAAAGAGTGTCAGAGGGAGAAGATTTGGCTGACAACAGGGAAAAAGGCTTTCTAAGGAAAGCAAAGGAAAGAATCAACTGAGCAAAGAGACAGAATACAGTATGAGAGGAGAATGTTAACAGCTAGACTTCAGACAAGGGCCAAGATCCAGAATTTCCAAAGAATTACAGAAAGTTAACATCAAAAAAATACAAGTGATAACACACAGAATGTTAATGTGAATAGACACCCTTGGGAAATAAAGGAAATATAGATAGTCAATAAATATTTTTAAAAGTGTTCAATATTCCTAGACATCACGTTAATTCAGATTAAAACCACGTTGAGATACCAGCTCACCCAAGTAAAAATGGTTTCTATCAACTAATCTGACAAATGTTGGGGGTGGTTTTGAGAGAACGCAGACCTTATTCGCAGTTGGTGGTTTTGAAAATTAGTCCAACTGTTACAGAAATCAGATTGGAGATTTCTCAGAAAACTAAAACTAGAACTAACATATGACCCTCCTATGTCTCTCCTGGAAATATCCCCAGAGGACCCCATTCCTTATGTACAGATATTTACTCGCCCACGTTTCTTGCTCTTTTGTTTACTTCAGCAAAAAATTAAAACCAAACTAGTTGTTCATCAACAGACTGAAAAATAATGTGTATGAGTTATATATATAACACACACACACACACATATAAATATATATATATAATAGGAGAATATTGTTTATCTCCAAAGAAAAATGAAATTATAAAGTCCATAGGAAATGGATGAAATGGATGGATATAGGATCTAAAATATAAACAGGTCACACAAACACTGAAAGGATTAAAACACAATTCCACATCATACTGTGAATCTAGACACAGACACATAAACACACACACACACATGTCTGTGTGTAAGACAAATGTACATGTGGTGTAGTGTATCTTATGTCAAAGAAAAAAAGAACAGCTAAATACTCAGAGTTTAGGAAGGACTTAATGCAGACAATGAACATGAATTATGAAAGAAAATATAGACAAACATTTATCTAGCTCTCACTCTATCACAGATTGTTGATTTTTGGGTTTTAGGACAGTACATAAAATATATTTGATAGAGAAATTATTATATCCAACAAGAAGCTCCAGAAGTTTGATTCCAAATTGCCACGCTAACAGAATCATTAAGACAATTTTAATAAAGAAATAAGTATGTTATATTCCAAATAATTTAATTATGTTCTGTAAGCTTCTTAGCTTCAGTTTTGAAAAAAAATATGATTTAAACACAAGAAATTGCAGAAAATGATGTTACATTTTTACCATTTTATACAGTAACATATGTCATGAGGTTTTAATTCTTTGTTAGTAGTGCAAGTGACTTTATCTTTTGGATGGCTTTATTTATAATATAGTTTTGCTAAGAATGTTATATAATGATATAACATTGGTTTATTATTATCTGTTGAGAACCATTCTGGACAAAAAATATAATGGACTCAGGTCTTCAAAGCACAAATAACACATTTTCCTTCAACAGCCAAAGAAAAGCCTTTGTCAAAACTTAAACTATCCTTTGTCTTCAGTGTCTCATACTATAAATGTTTCTCACTGATCACTAAAGTTTATTCTCCTTTAGAAAAAACAACTTAGAAAGGTAAATTCATAGGAAGAATTAATTAGATGATGTTATCAACATAAAAACAGTTAACTCATACCATGATTTAAAACTAATAAAGTACCAAGATTTCTTTTTAAATTATTAAGTTTTTAAATTATGTTAAAAATGTGACAAAGCTCTATATTTTGTCAATGTTTCTGTAAGAAAGCCTATCTTAAAATTGAACTATAAAATTATTTTTAATGTAATATGTATAACACAAAATTGATTTTTATCAAAAGTTAGGAAATTTCATTCACGAATGACCAAAGTTTACAAATACACTTCCATCTTGCATTTTGCTTAAGCTTTATATCATACAAATAAATTTCATGTACAAGACGGATATTACTGTAATAATCTGTTTTTACAACTCCCAAATTATTGGTTTCGATTAAAATTGTATTTTTCAAAAGTAACACATAAGTGCAATCTATGGTATAAGTTCAACATATTGAAATATTTGTCAACAATTTGCAAAGAAATATGTCTAAATGCAACATACACTTGAAAAGGAAACATATCTGCTTTTTTAATATTTTCTATCTTGTCTCCTTGATTTCCCTCTTGCCAAATAGAAATTTACCCACATTACAATTTCTCATAGTTCAGCAGGGGCTTCTGTGGTAGATACAGCATTACGAGTTCCAGAGAACTTTCCAGATGATAGTTAGTATATGGAGAAGCAATGCCATTTTTCTCTGTCGCTGAGCGCCCCCTGCTGCTGCTGATCGCATCTGCATGGAGGTTTATGTCTGGGCTCACACTGAAGTCTTCTCACTGTGTTTGACTCTTGCACAGTAGTAAGTGGCAGTGTCCTCAGCTTTCAGGCTGTTCATTTGCAGGTAGAGGGTGTTTTTGGAATCATCTCTGGAGATGGCGAACCGGCCATTCACTGACGCACTGTACTCTGCTGAGTAACCATTATCTTTGTTTCTACTCACTGCAATCCATTCCAGTTCCTTTCCTGAAGGTTGACGAACCCAGATCATGTAGAAATCACTCAAGGTGAATCCAGATGCTGCACAGGAGAGTTTCAGGGACCCCTCAGACTGTACTAAGCCTCCTCCGGACTCTAACAACTGTACCTCACACTGGATACCTGGCAATAGCATAGAATTCTGGTCAGGAAACTGTCATACATATCCACCATCACTATTACTCATTCCCGCCTTCCAGTCAACATCTTTTGTTTCCATGAATTACCTTCTAAAAGAGTTACAAGGAAAACACAGTTCAGCCACAACTTCATGGTGAGAGGTCTGTTTTCAGTGCTCATCCCTGAATGGAAAGACCAGGGAAATCAGGACTGTCCTCCTCTGCTAGAGCTACAAGGTCAAATCAGGGCTGTTTTTCATGAGCAGAGGGAGGACAAATTTGCATTTCTTCCTGCTACATCATCTGCACTAGGATTAGAGCAATAGAGGGGGCAGTTATTAGTACAGAATGCAGATGTTAAATGGATGAGTTAGGTAGCACTGACTGTTTAATAACATAATATTGTTTGCTATGTGTATGTGATAACACTTCAATGTTTGTTTGTTTATTTATTTATTTAGGTTTTTTGAGACAGGGTTTCTCTTTGTAGCTTTTCGCCTTTCCTGTAACTCACTCTGTAGCCCAGGCTGGCCTCAAACTCACAGAGATCCGCCTGCCTCTGCCTCCCAAGTACTGGGATTAAAGGCATGTGCCACCACCGCCACCCAGCTCAATGTTTTATTGTGATTTAGCCATGTCTAAATCACATGTCATTATTTTGAAAATGTAAGGAGCTGAATTAATGTTAAATAGAAATATTAAACTCTAAAACCTCATTTGAGGACTTAGCTAAGTAGTGTAACATCCTCAAGTTCCTAGACTTGATTCCCTTTTCTAATGAATATACATTGAAAAAAATAAGACTACCCCCCTCATTGGCCTCTGTTAAGTGACAAAGCTTATTCAAATCTCAATTTTTCACATTTGTTGGAACAAGTCAATACTTTGTAGGGGTGTGTTTATCATCTTTAAGCATCAACTCACCTTTAATTTTAATATCCTTAAAGGAATTGAAGGGACTGCCAAGGAGTCTCCTGCCTAGAGTCTAGGCCATGCTCAGGGCTCCTTCCATCCGTCTGTACCCATTGAAGATGTAGCGCTTCCATACGGTTTGGGAAATAAGTCACAGAGTCAGGAATCTTGAAATAATGACATTCTACATGAAAAGAAAATACTGAATTATAATTTTTCTCTCAATGAATTCATTGTCGATGAAAGAAACCATCTTCATGGTGGTTTTAGGACCCTGTGGATTGTGGCACTACCGCTTCTGTATTTTTCCAGGAAAGTAACTAAGTTTCAATGAAATATCTAGAGATCTGTGTCTGTTTTGCTTTGGAATCTTCTGGGAAAATGATAAAAACTCCTCTGTGTCTCTTGAAGGTTTCCTTTATTTAAAAGGATAACATGTTAAGTGAGAGGAAGGACTCTTTAGGAAGTGAAATAATTCCCCTGCTGGCTGCTCTCTGAACCTGCTCCTCGAATTCCTGCCATAAATCATAGCTGGTGAATTGTGCAGGCCCTCAGAGGGGCTGCCCAGGAGTGGCATAATTGAGTACACTGAAATTTTATTCCTTAATCTTAGGCATTTATATACTGATTTCTGAAATTACTGTACCAGTTCACCTATCTACCACCAACATGTGAGGGTTCTTTATTTTTGTATCTTCACCAGATTGACATTGATTTTCTTGATGCCAAACATCCTGACTGGAGTGAAATGAATTTGAAACACTGCATTTTCTACTTCCTGATGCCTGAATGCATTGAACATTGGCTCACATATGTATTGGTTATTCATATTTCTTCATCTAAGAACAATCTGAGGTTAATTTTACTACCTGTTGATTCTATTATTTGGGTTTTGAGGGTTAATATTTTTCTTTAATGTATATTCTAGCTACTAATATCCATCAAACAAATACCGGGACAAAATTTTCTCCTGTTTTATAGGAAATATTTAAAAATATTCAATACCATTAGTCATCAAGTGAGGGCAAATTATAATTTGAGATTTCATCTGAATGCAGTAAAGATGGATAATACTTAGAAAATAAATGACATCAAATTTTACCTATGTGTTAAAGGGAAAATCTTTAACCACTGTTAGTGGAAGGGATTATTAATGCAAGTGCTATGGAAATCAGTGGATAACTTCCAAAAGAACAAAAATTTAAAATAATAGAAAATGTAGTGGTTATTCAAAGTTATTGTGGAATAGAATCTGCCTAGATGTCCATGAACTAATGAATGGATAATAGAAATGTGATAAATATACACAAAGCAATTGCATTTGTCAGTAGAAAAAAATGAAATAAATTTTCAGGAAAATTTGTGGAGCAGGGAAATATTATTTTTTGAGTATAGTAATCATGACTCAGAAAGACAAATGTCACATCTTACTCATATGAGGATATTAGCTTCAATTTTTTTAGAACCCTGTTTTTAAATTAGCATGTTTACATATACTTTTTATTGAAAATCACTTATAACAGGTATGACCATCATATATTTTGAATAGTTTTGAATTTTTCATACCTATATGTAATATATTTGATGAAAGCTAACTCATTCAACAGCTTCCATCCACTTCACCAAAACACCAATATCTATCTCTCCTGAGTTCATGTCCTCTTTTCAGGGCATGGTCAACTTATAAGATTCCATACTCACAAAGTAGAGTGACTTACTCTACACAGAAACCACCTAGAAATAAGTCCTCTGCCATGGGTAGGGCCTCCAACACATTTCTGCCATCCATGCTGCAATTAAGCCTAACTTGATTTTGTGTAGGTTGTGAGAAAGAAGCCACATTCCTTTGAAATCAAGGGTCTGATAGGTGCATTATGTCAAGAAGTCAGCATTTTACAGCATTCCTTTCCAACTCATGACTCTTAAAGTCTTTCCATTCCCTCTTCCATGATATTCCTAAAGCCTCTGGTAGGAATATTAATATCAATGACCTATGTACTGCTGTTATAGCATTAATATGCATTCCCAGTGAGAAAACACTCCTCATGTTTAGAGGTTGATTAAGAAAAACTCTTTAATATTAGTACAAGACTTACGCACAAAAGAGATCCAGCCTCTCAGAAAGGAACAAAACTTCCCCAACCAAGGTTGACAGCATCACAAACCTAAGTGTGGAAATGTAGATGTACAGAAGTCACTTTTACAATCTGACTATTTGACAACAGTAGCTTCTCCATCCTTAGGGCATATTTCCTCCCTGGACATGGGCTTTCAGAGGGCTACAATATCAGGCATTAAAGCCCTGCTTTGGGACTAGCCTGAATACAACCAAAAAGTCATTCATTATCCCCATATGCATTATGCCAATACTGATCCAGTGGGCTCATCTTGCTAACAAATTGATACTGTAACAGTATAGTATTGGAGAAATTATTTTGGCCACTCCACGTAGTTAAAAGGATATTTATTTAATGGCGTAACTCACAAATTAAGTGATAGGTAGGTCGCAGGGTCTGGGGAAGTTGTATCGCAGTCCAGCGGTGTTCTCTGGAGCTCTGCTCGGTTCACCTCCATGGCTCAGGGTCCCGGCACAGAGAGAGTGCTCACCCATCCAGGTCTCAGGTCTCCAGATGCCTCCCTTGGCCCCGCCTCATAGGTGTGACAGTTGCCAGAGTCTCAATGGGGGTTGGTACTTCAGATCCAAGCTGGAATGGCTACCCACTACAGTATAGTGCTTGAAATCTTACAGAGATCAATAAGAAGACAGAAGTGGTTATTTCTGTTCTTGTTGTTTTGTTGTACTTCCAGAGCTATAAAAACAACACAGGCTTCTTCCATTTTCCTGGGTTTGTCATCATGTCTAGGTGTAAGACCTAGATGTAAGATTGTCTGCTTGAGAAGTCATACACTCAGGCAACATCTTTACTGACTGATGTTAATATTTCCAAAAGAACTGATGTAGGCTACAGAGAGTGAAAAATCATCAATATTGTGTCAGTCAAATCCAGTGGTAAAGACTACTTCCTACTTTCTCTTCTATCAGAATCGGAGTAACGGGATTTATGTTGAGGTCTTTGATCCACTTGGACTTAAGTTTTGTGCACGGTGACAGATAAGGATCTATTTGACACGTTGACATCCAGTTATACCAGCACCATTTGCTGCACATGCTTTCTTTTTTCCATTGTACAGTTTTGGCTTCTTTGTCAAAAATTATATGTTCATAGGTGTGGGGATTAATGTCAAGGTCTTCAATTCGATTCCATTGGTCCACATGTCGGTTTGTATTCCAGTACCACACTGTTTTTATTACTGTAGCTCTATAGTAGAGCTTGAGGTCAGGGATCGTAATGCCTCCAGAGGCTGACTGTTATGTTCCCACATCAACAGTGTCTCTCACCAGTGTGTTCTTCTGGCTACAGTTCTTTCTGGCCAAGACAGAAGTGTTCAATAGCTCACTAGTGACAATAATATTTTAGGAGAAAGCAACCACTTTTTTCAAACTTGAAATTTGAGACACGAGACTGTGAAACAGAAGGGAATGTATGCCTGGTACTCTACTTATTTAAAATAAAATTGTTCAGTAGGAACTCCCAGCTCACGTCTGCATGATCCAGAAAGCCCCATTTCTGTCTCTCCAAACCCCACCCACTCAGAGAGTGTCCAAACAAAGGGAAGGAACCAGAAAGCCCATCAGGCTTCACCTACAAACTACATAATTTCCCTGCTTTTGTTCTGATGTGCTGCTTCTTCGACCTCGATCTCTGGGACTGAGGAACCTGCCTGGGAGTTGCTTTGCTCAAGTAAAGCTGTTCTTACACTTTCTCAATTTGTATTGATCTGGCTTACTGTGCTTGTGGGAAAAAAACGCAGGAGACAGAAAACCTATTATCTTGGTGCTGAAACCCACAAGGTGTTGAAGTCTTCCACCCAGGGGACCAAGTCCTTTGGCCATGTCAGGGGTGGGGTTCCTCTCACTTTACAGTTCTCTCTGTTGTACATGATTATCTTTCAACTCTGGGTCACCGGTTTCCAAGCCAATATCTGAAGAGATACCAGGTACCTCTTTCAGGGTCCAGGACCTTGAGGATCCACTGCCAAGCCAAGGAGATCCTGCCAAGCCAAGGCCATGCTAGAGCAAGCTGATCCATTTCTGGAGTAGTTGTAGTCTCTGTTGCAGGGTACCTCTGTGTTTGGAGACATCCTTCCCCAAGGTTATGTGAGTGTTACAGCTCTGGAGGG